GGCACAAGAATTGCTTAAGCTTTAGAAGCAGAGATTGCAAGAGCCAAGATTGCACCACTGTACTCCAGCCTGGGTGACAGAGTGAAAATCTGTCTCAAAGAATAAAATAATGGAATAAATAAATGATTTGATGTGAACTTTTTGAAAAGACATTTTGACAACTGATAGTTTGTGGATGAATTAGTGATATTTAGGAAATAAAGCAAATGAAAGAAAGAAAGAAACATTTGGTTCCAAAGAAGTCCAGAAAATTAGTTACTTGAACCCAGGAGGCAGAGAGGCTGCAGTGAGCCGAGATTGTGCCACTGCACTCCAGCTTGGGCAACAAGAGCGAGACTCCCTCTCAAAAAAAAAAAAAAAAAAAAAAGAATCTTCTGGGGATCTCGTTAAACACATCTGAATTCTGGTCCTTCAACCATAATTTTAGTAACAAATGTCCTACACGGCTGAGCTATAAACAGAATGTATAATGATGTAAACTCTGAATAGTGGTTAAATTATTAAATATATTGACAGGCTGGGAAGATGGGAAATATGCAAGTGTATGGTGGAGAAGGAAAGAAAACTAAATCCTCCTCTTCTGCAGAGAAGTTAATGCCTCAAACAGAAACACACTATTAAAGCTAGCTGGCTTTAAAAATCATATATAATTTTGATAACAACAGAGTCCTTAAGAAGTGGGCAGAGGATGTGAACACAGTTCATAAATACAAAAAGCACTTCAACAGCTCCATACTCTACTGTCTCATTAAGAATCCTTTGTTAAGGTAGGTGTGGTGGCATACCCCTCTAATCCTAGCCACTTGGGAGGCTTGCTTGAGCCCAGGAGTATGAGGACAGCCTGGGTGAGATCTCATCTCTAAAAACATTTTTTTTTGAGATGTTGTTTCACTCTGTCACCCAAGCTGGAGTACAATGGATCACTGCTACCTCCATTACCTGGGGTTCAAGTGATTCTCCTGCCTCAGCCTTCCGAGTAGCTGGGATTACAGGCAACCACTACCATGCCTGGCTAATTTTGTAGTTTTAGTACAGGCAGGGTTTCACCGTGTTGGCCAGGTTGGTCTTGAACTCCTGACCTCAAGTGATCTGCCCACCTCAGCCTCCCAAAGTGCTGGGATTACAGGTGTGAGCTACCACACCTGGCCTCTAAAAATTTTTTTAATTACAAATTTTTATACTCAGGAGGCTGAGATGGGAGGATCTTGAAGCTGGGAGGTTGAAGCTGCAGTGAGCTGTGATCATGCCACTGCACTTTAGTCTGTGAAAAAGAGAGCCCTGTCTCAAAAAAAATTTTTTTGGTTGTTTTAAAAAGATTACAGTTATCACTTAGCAATCGGCAAAAAAGAAGAGTTCACTGATTGCACCAATTGCAATAATGTAAAGAAACAGCAATATATTGTTACAGCAAAAGTTCTGAAATCTTAAGTGTTTTATGTTGTAACAGAATACCACAGACTGGGTAACTTAAAAATGAATAGAAATTGGCCAGGCACAATGGCTCATGCCTGTAATCCCAGCACTCTGGGAGGCTGAGGCAGGTGGAACACGAGGTCAGGAGTTCAAGACCAGTCAAGAAGGTGAAACCCCACCTCTACTAACAACTACAAAAATTAGCCGGGCACAGTGGCAGGCACCTGTAATTCCAGCTACTTGGAAGGCTGAGGCAGGATAACTGCTTGAAGCTGTGTGGCGGAGGTTGCTGCGAGCCGAGATGGTGCCACTGCACTCCAGGCAACAGAGTGAGACTGTCTCAAAAAAAAAAAAAAAAAAAAAAAGAAATGTATTCGGCTCATGATTAGCAGCTGGGAAATCTAAGAGCATGACATCAGTATATGGCAAGGGTCTTTGTTGTTTTGTGATCCCATGGTGGAAAGTGAGAGGGCAAAGAGGGTGTGCTCAGGAGAGCAAAAGAAAGATTTGGCTAAACTCCATTTTACAACAAACCCACTCCTGAGATAGTAACATTAATCCATTCTTGAGGGTGGAACCCCCACAGCCCAATCACCTCCCAAAGTTCCACCTCTCAATAATATCACAATGGCAATTAAATTTCAACATACATTTTGGAGGGACATTCAAAACAGCACTGACAATCCTTATTGTCCCATAACTGAATCACTTCCAGATTTCAACCATCTTTCTGTTGGCAATTCTTTTAAGTTGGCTACCACAATATGCTTTATGCTTTTTTTTTTTTTTTTTTTGAGACAGCTCTCTTTGAAGTGAGTGCAGTAGCATGATCATAGCTCACTGCAGCCTTACCTCCAGGACTCAAGAATCTTCCCACCCTGGTCTCCCAAGTAGCTGGGACTATGGGCATGTGGCACCATGCCCAGCTAATTTTTTTTTTGTAGAGTCAGGGTCTCACTATGCTGCCCATGTTGGCCTTGAGTTCCTGGACTCCAGTGATCCTCCTCCCTCAGCCTCCCCATGTGCCGGGATTACAGGTGTGAGCCACTGCACCTGGCCCAGTATGCATTCTCAACTACTGTCTTCCTTAGCTGCCTTGGCTGTCAGGACTGAAAAAGCTATACAGTCACCTCTCATCTGTGGTTTCAGTTACCTTGGTCCAAAAATAGGTGACTACAACACAATATTTTGAGTGAGGCTGACCACTACCACGTACTTTTTATTAAAGTAATTGTTATAATTTTTCTATTTTACTGTTAATCTGTTACTGTGTCCAATCTATAAACTTTATCATAGGTAAGTATTAGCCCATTCTCACACTGCTATGAAGAAATATCCAAAACTGGGCAATTTAAAGAAAACAGGTCTAATTAACTCACAGTTCCTCATTGCTGGGGAGGCCTCAGGAAACTTACAATCATGGTGGAAGGCAAAGGAGAAGCAGGCACCTTCTTCACAGCGTGGCAAGACGGGGCGAATGCAAGCAGGGGAAATGCCAGATGCTTATAAAACCATCAGATCTCATGAGATTCACTCACTATCACAAGAACAGCATGGTGGAAACTGCCCCATGATACAATTATCTCTACCTAGTCCCACCCTTTACATATAGGAATTTGGGGATTATAATTCAAGATGAGACTCTGGGTGGGGTCACAGCCAAACCATATCAGGTATACATGCATAGGCAAAAACAGTATATATATATAGAGTTCAGTACTATCTGCTGTTTCAGGGATCCACTCACAGTCTTGGAATGCATCCCCCGAGAATAAGGAGGACTACTGTGTTCGCTTTCCCAGCCTCTGCAGCTAGAGATGGACATATGTCATAGTTCTCAACAATGAAACTAAGTGAAATCCTGCTGGGAGGAATTCTGATAAATCTCTTGCTTTCCTTTTAAAATCTCTTGCTTTACCTTTCCTGGAGGAATTTTGAGAAATCTCATAACTATGGTCTCAGCTACTTGGGAGGCTGAGGTGGGAGGCATGCTTGCCAGAAGTGGCTGGCACAGCTATCTTTTCTTCCTGCCTTGAACTCATGTAAATGTCAGCCCTTTTACAAGCATGAACAACAATCATAAAGGTGTTAGAAATATGCCATGGAGAGTGGAGTGGAAAAATACAAAAAAAGCATCACTGAGAGCTAAGCCAACAACTACAGCATCCTCACTTGGCTTTAACATATATGACAAAAACCTCCTGCTTAACTCCCTCAACGTTTTGTTACACAGCCAAACACACCCATTTTCTCAAAGAAGGCTGCTCTGAATTATGTTTTACACATAATTTCCCCAGTATTTATTTGTAAGTCAAACATATAAACTCTCACACTATAATGTTCACCCTAAAACAGAAATTGTTAAGAGTTAAAAAAAAAAAAAATAAGTAAACTGGCCAGCTGGTTCACGCCTAATAATCTCAGCACTTTGAGAGGTCAAGGCAGGAGGATCACTTGAGCTTGGGAGTTCGAGACCCTGTCTCAATTTAAATAAATTAAATAAATACAAATCAATCTCCACAATTCTGGGTTTGCTTATTTTACAATCAATAGGATTGTTTAACTGTGAGCAATAAAAATGTAAAGAAAATGTAATTTACTGAAAATATGAGGTAGCTTGCAGAACTTAAGGGAAAGCTAAACCAGGCCTCAGGAAGAACAGGAATCAGGATAGCTCAAAATCACCACTTTCAGAAACTGCTCTGAAATAAATTCAGGAGCACCAATCCAATTTAGTTTCTTGAAGCAAAGTGTACCTCAAGGTGCTAAAGCACAGTTAATTTTAGAACTCCCATGAAAATCATGTTCTTCAACCTACAAAATAAGCAAATTTAAAGCTTAAAATCTAGGACTTTCCATATCAAAAAACTAACAATTGAACAATTTGTTTACAATAACAGATTAAAATCTGATCTACAGACTGTTTACAGACTCCCCTGTCCCCTACCCACAAGAAGATCTACCACTTTCTTCTAATTTTAGGCTCACAGGGTGGAAACTTTCACTACCTATTTTATTCTTAAATACCTCCTCCTCTCCTAGCATTAGTTCATAAGCAAAAGCTGTAAAAGTCAGTTTCAAATTTTATTTTATTCACTTAAAAGGTGGACAAAAATGTTTATTTCAAATCTAATTGAAATTCATCTGAAACAAGTAACTTATTTCAAGTAACTTATTGTACAGTCCATTGTCCATTTAAAAATATTCTTTCTTCCAAAAAAAACTGCACTGAAAGACAAAAAAAAAATTATTTTATAGTGCATAAAAGCGAGATGCAAACTTCTGATGTGAATTTGTTTCAATGTCAACTCCGATGATAAAGATGAGAGGCACAAGGGTTCACAGTTCAGTTAAATGATGCAAACAAAAAGCTTCTGGTTTCCTCTGATACAAATTAGAAGCCTCCATTCATACATCTTACAGTAGTACCACATACTTGATGTTGATACTAGGTTACTTCTTTTTCTTTCCTTTCCCTTTTTTACTTCCCTCTCCTTGTTGAAGACTTGGGTCACCACCTCCTGTTTTTTGTGTCCTTGTTTTTAGTTTAGGTATCATTTCTGCTGCATACAACATTACTGACTTACCTAGGAACCAGAAGTTAGGCTTAGTGTATAATCTGAGAAATAATACATAAAAAGTCATTAACTTGAATATCACAAAGAAACTATCACATCAAGAAAATGGAAAATAATTTTTTTAAAAAATTAAAAATCATATGACGGTGAAGACACTCACTGGCTCAAGTGTGGGGAAATTTACTGAGAGTGAGAATAATGCTGAAAATATTTAAATGAATAAAATCAAAAGGCAAAACACTAAGTATGAAACAAAAATTCTGGTCTTGGTCCTAGTAATTAGCAGATCTAAGGAGTATATATCTAAATATATCTCAGATAGGAAAGAGAGTCAGAATATCATTGTATCTTAAGACACTGAAACACAGGGTTTTCTGAGTCTTACAACAAAAAACAGTATCAAGTTACAAGAGATCTGATAGGTAAGATCAGATGATCTACGCTTACAGGCATCCCTGCTCTGCATACCCACAACCAGCTACCTTCACCCCAAGAGACCAAGCTCCTCAGCTCTGCTTTCTTTTTACTATCTTACTCACTTGGATCTTAGTGGAAATAGGAAGTGACATTTTTTCACTACAATTTCTATCCCTATTTTATTTACTAGTTAATTAAAAATTTTTGTTTGTTTTTGGTCTTTTGAGATATAGTATAGGAAAATGTTGAAGAGGAAAAAAAAATATCAGAATATACTATCTGTCACTCCTTAATCACAACCTGAAGCACCTAGCAATACCTACCAATCCTGACGGGTTTTTGTATACAAAAAAACAATCTACTTTAGGCTAAGCCCAGTGCCTCATGTCTGTAATCTCAGAACTTTGGGAGGCTGAGGCAGGAGGATCACCTGTATCCAGGAATTCGAGACTGGCCTAGGAAACATAGCAAAGCCCCATCTCTGGAAAAAAATGAAAAATTAGGCAGGTGTGGTGGCATGCACCTGTATTCCCAGCTACTTGGGAGGCTGAGGTGGGAGTGTTGCTTGTTGCTTGAGTCCAGGCGGTCAAGACTGCAATGTGCCATAATTGTACCACTGCACTCAACCTGGATGACAGAGTAAGACACTGTCTTTAAAAAAAAAGTTTAAATATGCTGGCTGGGCATGGTGGCTCATGCCTGTGATCTCGGCATTTTGGGATCTCCCCAAAGTGGGAGATTGCTTGAGGCCAGGAGTTTGAGACTAGCCTGGGCAACACAGTGAGACCCTTGTCTATTTAAAAAAAAAAAAAAAAACAAAGTTGTCAGTTTGACAATTTCATTGTTTTTAAGTAAATCTAATGGAAGAGTTTAATTAAACTGAGGGGGGTTATTAAACTGAAACAAAAAATGAATAGCTCTGTTTTAAAAAATTAAAATTTTCAGAGATAAAAATTCAGAAAAATAAATAACATGAAAACAAAGACTTCTTAATACTCAGAACCAACATTCTGTTATATTGATTTCTAGTTTTGTCTTGTTATTGTTTTTCATGAAATGAAACATTAGAGATGATGAAATAATCTTCTACGGTCATCAATCCCTGTGTCTCCACTTTCTATTTCACTAGCCATTAAGTGACTACTGTCTTAAGAGTTGGTGTTTCCTTACAGATCATTTCAAAAAAAGAAACGAAAAGCAACATTATATATGCATCTATCAATAAATAGTACTATTCTGTATTTAAATTTACATAAGTGGTTCCACACTATGCATATCTCTTGCTTTTTTCAGTCAATATTGTTTTTTAGATTAATAGAATAATTAGATATTAAACCTCTAGGATCTGAAATAGCATTTAACATCCCATGATTTAATAATTTTATATTCTTAATCTGGGAGCAATGACAGACTCCTAAAGGTTTATAAATATTCACACAATTTTTTTGAAAAATGTTTAGTAGGTCTCATTACATTTTCAAAGAGGTCTTTCACCTCAAAGAAATTATAACTACTGCTTACCTCTCTCCATGAGAAGTAGTCCTGTCTTTTAAATTATTCTTTAGAATGCAAATTCTGATTTTCACCTTTCAGTTTTAGAAATTTGTGTTGTGTAGGAGAAACCTATCCCTGAATCCTCCTGATTCACTTAAAAAAGCTTACGTGATGGAAACTGTACAAGGCAGAGGCTGCCATCTTCCTGTTTGAGCTGGACCCGGACTCTGCCTCTGTATTGGACATCACGATTCCATTCTCTGGAGTACATTTTATTTTTCTAACATAAAACAAAAGAAAAACAGGGCTTAAGCAAGTTATTACATCAATTAGATGAGTATGGAAAATAATAAAGAACCATGTCATACCTCAAGAAATACGTTAAGTCCAACTGCTGAACATACATCTTGAATCTCTGTAGCTGTAGGATTTTCAACAGCCTGAACAGTTAAAAACACATACACTAAATATATTTGCTTTAAGTGAACACTGCCATAAAGGGTTGGGTAAATAATTTCAAATACTATAATCAAACAAGTACCAAAACTCTAGGTGTCCTCTTTCCCTAAGTACAGATGCTTCCATTGCAATTTTAAAAATTCCTAGGAATAACACTAATACATGCCTGTGTGTCCCTCCCCCCTCCAACAGAACATAATCTTCTAAGGGCAAGGACTTTGTTTTGTTAACCAGTGTATTCCCCTGTACCTAGCATGGTACTTTGAACATAGTAGGTGGTCGATTATTCACTGCTTAAACAATTACACATATAAACACTTTAGAAAACCGTCCGCTAGTATCTACTAAAGCTGAATATATGCATTCCCTATGGCCCGGCAATTCCATTCCCAGATGTGTTCTACAAAAAAGCAAAAATAGGTTCACTAAAAGACAACTATTTATAACAGCTTCAAACTATTAATAGAAATAATCCAATTTTTCATCCCGAATAGAAAGGGCCAGGTGTGGTGGCTCACACCTGTAATCCCAGCACTTTGGGAGCCAAGTCAGGAAGACTGCTCAGCTCAGGAGTCTGAGACCACCCTGGGCAACATGGAGAAATGCCATCAATACAAAAAAAAAAAACAAGAAAAAAAAAGAAAAGAAAAAAATAGCCACATGGTGGCATGTGCCTGTAGTCCCAGCTACTCAGAAGGCTGAGGTTGGAGGATGGCTTGAGTCCGGGAGGTAGAGGCTTCAGTGAGCTGAGACTATACTGGTGCACTCCAGCCTCGGTGACAGAGCCAGATCTGTCTCTTAAAAAGAAAAAGGAGGTAGAAAAGACTTTGGTGTATGCACACAATGCAATACTAGAGCAAACAGGGCAGTAGTTTCCAACAGGGAAATTCTGTCCTCAGCCTCCCTACCCCTGCCCACACGCAAAAGACACCTGGCAATGCCTGAAGACATTTCTGATGGTCACAACTAGGGGATGGGAGGGTGGAGGGGGACAATCTGTCATCTAGTGGGTAGAGGCCAGGGATATTGCTGAACATCTTAAAATACACATAACAACCCCCCTAAAACAATTATCTGGCTCAAACTGGCAATGGTGCTATTGACAAACCCTGTCACAGAGCAATAAAAATTCAACTATATTCAAATATGCGGATAAATCTCATAAGCTTAAAGTTCAGTGAAAAAAAGATACAAAAGTACATAGTGTGTAATTCCATTTATAGAAAATTCAAAAATAGCAAAAGTAATCTATGGTGTTGAAGTCATGACAGTGGCTATCCTGGTATTTTTGAGCATATGCGTAGGCGACAGTGATTGGTAGGGAACATAAAGGAATCTTCCTGGATGCTTGCAATGTTTTCTTTTTTGAGTGCTTGTTATCACTCAGAAGTACTCATCATGTGAGAATTCATTGCATCAAACCTAGGTGCCTTAAATCTGTCATATTACAAAATACAAATGACTCTTTAATAAAACACATCAGGGCTGAACTTTTTGCAAGTCTTTCTCACATATTTAAAAAAATCTCAACTACATTCTGAACATTATTAATGTATCGTACAATGTCATAATTTTGATTTTCTGTACCAAGGGGAACATTGTCATAAACTTTTTAAAAAAAAAAAACGTGAATTGGGAGGCCAAGGTGGGCAGATCACGACGTCAGGAGATCGAGACCATGGTGGCCAACATGGTGAAACTCGTCTCCACTAAAATACAAAAAATTAGCCAGGCATGGTGGTGCACGCCTATAGTCCCAGCTACTCGGGAGGCTGAGGCAGGGGAACTGCCTGAACCAGGAAGCCGAAGATTGCAGTGAGCAGAGATCATGCCACTACACTCTAGCCTCGTGACAGAGCAAGACTCTGTCTATTCAAACAAAATACAAAACAAAACAAAACAAAAATCATGTAAACTCTACAGACTCTCTATATACTTTTTTACAAGCACAGGCTCATTAGGAGCCATTAAAAAAAAAATCCCCTCAGCTATAAATTAATGCCTTTCTGGTTTCACCAAGGAATGCAGCCCAATTCTTGGTTTTTCTCCTCAAGCCCTAAATAAATGCAGTGAAGAGAAGCCCCTGAGGCTCTAATAAGATGACATCCCCCATTCCCTTGAGGACCAAGGTGCCAGCCACCTGCTTACCTTACTTATGGGGATTCGCCTTCCCTCTGCAATGGTCTTCTTATTATTTAAATAAGCAGGATAGATACAAATAAACCTGCCATAGACAAGAGCACAACTGGTATCACTAGAGCAGTATGAGGCAGGAGAACAGGGTCGGGAGGCAGGAAACCGAAGGCCAATTCATGCTGACTAGATATCAGATGGCTACTCTCTTTTCAACCGTCTTTTTTCTGCATGGCAGTTAAAAAATCAGAGTACCTCGGGGCCCCTCCAGCAACCAATCAGACGGGTCGGCCTACTCTTCATTCTGACTGATCCCCTCCCGCAACCAATTAGACTGGCACTGGCCAATGGGAAACCTCCAGAGTATTTAAACCCCCCAAAATTTCGTAACCTGCAAATATTCCATAACCAACAGCTGTTGGATGGCTTGCTGGAGCCAGCTCCCACTCTGTGGAGTGTACTTTTGTTTAAAATAAATCTGCTTTCACTGCCTTGTGTGTTCTGCTCAATTCTTTATTCAAAACGCCAAGAACATGGACAACTACGCTCAACGAATAACAAGTATTTTCAAAAATATACTCATTGGCCAGGCACGGTGGCTCACGCCTGTAATCCCAGCACTTTGGGAGGCTGAGGCGGGTGGATCACAAGGTCAGGAGACGGAGAACATCCTGGCCAAGATGGTGAAACCTCGTCTCTACGAAAAATATAAAAATTAGCTGGGCCTGGTGGTGCGTGCCTGTAATCCCAGCTACTCAGGAAGCTGAGGCAGGAGAATCGCTTGAACCCGGGAGTCGGATGTTGCAGTGAGCACATCCGACTAGATGTGCACCGCTGCACTCCAGCCTGGCGACATAGCGAAACTGTGTCTCAATAATAATAATAATAATAATAATAATACTTATTGTTTCAGTCCATGATAGTCCTTGTCATCATTGCTGGTACACCTATGCTATTATTTGCTTAATGCTTTTTCGTTGAATTACCTTTCTTTTTCTTACCTTAGTTAAACTTTATCCACTACGTTAGATGGAAAAGAACAACACGAACAGAAACAAAACTTGTTAACTGTTACACTAGACAGAGCAGTCTGTCAAAAGCTCCTGAGAATGGGGCCAGCCCTCTTATATAAAAAATAGTGTCCAAGGTATTAAAACCTTAAAAATTCACAAACGAGACTTTCAGAGCTCAACAATAAGATATATCATGTCCACGTAGCACCCAAAATACTTGTGTCGCATAAAGGTAAACACCAGGTTACCTACGGTCGGAATTTCAGAAGCCCTGCCAAGAGCCTGGTGGCTGTTGCAGGATTCTCGGAAAAACGAGCCGCCTGGGAGGGGCGCGGAGCCCGTCCAGTCCAAGCTGGATCGGCTAGGCCATTCACGATGCCGCGAGGCGTAGAAGGGAAGCGCAGCACCCGCGGCACCACAGCAAGCCCCTTCCTTTCTCAGGACCCACCTCCCCAGGACCCACCTGTCCTGGTCGGCCGGGGAGCGCGCAGCAGCACAAGCCATCTTCACAAAACTCTGAACAGCGACAACCCAGGACAGCTCTGAGTTTCCCAGAGAGTGCGATATTCCGCCGGAAGTCCTGCCCACCAAATGGTTCCGCGTCCGCGAGTTCTCACCTCCTGTTTGTTGCGGCACCTGTCGCTCGGCTGCGGGATCGCTAGTCTACGACGTGGCGTGACTACTTCCCCTCTCGCGAGAGGATCAAGAAAGCTTCTCACCCCTTTCCCAAATCTCGCTGGGTAGCGCATGTCGGACGCATACATGGCCACTAAAAACGGGTTAACTTCGACCCTTCCTCATTTCCACTTTCTCAGCGAGTATGGGTGGTACTAGCTGTTTAGGGGCGAGACTGTGCACCGAGGAGGATCTGTGTGGTTCAGGGTGCAAATATACATTACAGCAAGCAAGGAAATGCTACTTATGTTTCATTTCTAGCTGTTCCTGGGCCCTAGAGTTTGCTTTCAATTTGGCAAAATGGATTTTTATAGTGGTAGAACTAGCGAAGCTAAAGACATTTATGTATGTATTAAGTTAAAGACAGTATGCTGTGTAAGTGTTAGAAACTTAACTATTCACCTTTTAGGCTGGGCACCGTGGCTCACGCCTGTAATCCCAGCATTTTGGGAGGCCAAGGCAGGCACATCACGAGGTCAGGAGTTGAGACCAGCCTGGCAAACATAGTAAAACCCCATCTCTACTAAAAATACTAAAATTAGCCGGGCGTGGTGACTCACGCCTGTAATCCCAGCACTTTGGGAGGCCGAGGCAGGCGGATCACCTGAGGACAGGAGTTCAAGACAAGCCTGGCCAACATGGCGAATCCCTGTCTCTACTAAAAAACGCAAAAATTAGCTGGGCGTGGTGGGATGCGCCTGTTTCCCTGTTACTCAGGAGGCTGAGGCAGGAAAATCGCTTGAACCTGGGAGGTGGAGGTTGCGGTGAGTCAAGATCCTACCACTGCACGTCAGCCTGGGCAACAGAGTGGGACTCAGTGTCAAACAAACGACAAAAAAAAAAAAATCTGAAGAATACCATGTGCCATTACTACAGGCAAACTTGATTATTGCCCTTTGCTTTGTTGCTCTGAGCAGATAGTGCCTTTTTACAAATGGAAGGGTTTTTGCAAATCGGCTTGGAGGAAGTCTCTTGGCGCCATTTTTCCAGCAGTATATGCTTTGTGTCATATTTTGGTAATTCTTGCAATATTTCAAACCTTTTCATTATTTCTGTTATGGTGATCTATAATCAGTGATGTTTGCTGTTACTATTGTAGTAGTTTTGGGGTGCCATGAACCGTGCCCAGATAAGATGGGGAACTTATTGGATAAATGTTGTATATGTTTTGACTGTTCAACCAACTGGCCATTTCCCATCTCTCCCTCTCCTGGAGCCTCTATTCCCCAAGACACAGCAGTGTTGAAATGAGGCCAATTAATAACCCTACAATGGCCTCTAAATGTTCAAGTGAAAGGAAAGTCACATGTCTCACTTTTTTTTTTTTTTTTTTTTTTTTTTTTTGAGACGGAGTTTCGCTCTTGTTACCCAGGCTGGAGTGCAATGGCGCGATCTCGGCTCACCGCAACCTCAGCCTCCTGGGTTCAGGCAATTCTCCTGCCTCAGCCTCCTGAGTAGCTGGGATTACAGGCACGCGCCACCATGCCCAGCTAATTTTTTGTATTTTTAGTAGAGACGGGGTTTCACCATGTTGACCAGGATGGTCTCGATCTCTTGACCTCGTGATCCACCCGCCTCGGCCTCCCAAAGTGCTGGGATTACAGGCGTGAGCCACCGCGCCCGGCCACATGTCTCACTTTCAGTCAAAAGCTGGAAATGATTAAGCTTAGTGAGGAAAGCATGTGTTAGCCATGATAGGCTGAAAGCTAGGTCTCTTGGCATCTTAACAGTTAGCGAAGTTGTAAATACAAAGACAAAATTCTTGAAGGAAATTAAAAGGAACTTACTTCAATAAACACACAAATGATCAGAAAGAAAAACAACCTTATTGCTGATACAGAGAAAGTTTTAGGGGTTTAGATAGAAGATTAAACCAGCCACAACATTCCTTTAACCCAAAGCCTAATCCAGAGCAAGGCCCTAACTCCCTTCAATTCTGTGAAGGCTGAAGAAAGATGAGGAAGCTGCAGAAGAAGTGGGATGCTAGCAGAGAGTGGTTCAGGAGGTTTAAGAAAGAAGCCATCTCCATAACATAAAGTGTAAGGTGAAGCAGCAAGTGCTGATAGAGAAGCTGCAGCAAGTTATCCAGAAAATGTAGCTAATACCATTGATGATGATCAATGATTAGCTAATATCATTTAGTGGTTACACTAAACAATGGATTTTTCAATGTAGACAAAACAGTCCTCTACTGGAAAAAGATGCCATCTAGGACTTTGATAGAACTCCTTTGAGAGAAGAAGTCAATGCCTGGCTTCAAAGCTTCTGAGGACAGTCTGTCTGATTGTCTTGTTGTGGAATAATGCATGGGTGACTTTAAGTTGAAGCCAATGGACATTTACCATGCCGAAAATCCTAGAGTCCCTAAGAATGATGCTAAATCTATATTGCCTGTGTTCTCTAAATGGAACAACAAATCCTGGATGACAGCACATCTGTTTACAGCATGCTTTACTGAATTTTTTTTTTTTTTTTTTTGAGACAGGGTCTCACTCTGTCACCCAGGCTGGCATGCAGTCTGACCTTGCACACTCAAGCAATCCTCCCACACAAGCCTCCAGAGTATCTGGGACCATGGGCATGTGCAACTGCCTGGCCGATTGTTTTTTTTATTTTTAGTGGAGACAAGGTTTTGCTGTGCTGCCCAGGCTGGTGTTGAACTCCTGGGCTTAAGCCATCCTCTTGCCTCGACCTCCCAAAGTCCTGGAATTATGGATGTGAGCCATTGCACCCACACTTTACTGAGTATTTTTAAGCCCAGTGTTGAGACCAATTGCTCAGAAAAAAAAGAGGGATTCCTTTCAAAATATTACTGCTCATTGACAATGCACCTAGATATCTAAGGTTCTGAGGGAGATGTACAAGGAGATTAATGTTTTCGGGCCTAATAACACATCATCTATTCTGCAGTTTATAGATCAAATAGTAATTTTTACTTTCACCTCTAATTAAGAAATACAGTTTGTAAGACTATAGCTGCCATATAGTGATTCCTCTGATGGATCTGGGCAAGGTAAATTGAAAATCTTCTGAAAAGGATTCACTATTCTAGATGCTATTAAGAGCTTTTGTGATTCATTGGAGGTTAAAATATCAGCATGAATGGGATTTGGAAGTTGATTTCAACTCTTGGATGATTTTGAGGACTTCACATTAGTGGAGGCAGTAACTGCAGATGTGGTAGAAATAGCAAGAAAACTAACATTAGAAGTAGAAACTGAAGATGGGACTGAATTGCTACAATTATGACAAAACTTGAATGATGAGGAGTTGCTTCTTATGAATGAGCAAAGAAAGTGGTTTCTTGAGATGGAAACAATTCCTGGTGAATATGCTGTGAACATTGTTGAAATAACATCAAAGGGTTTAGAATGGCATAAATATAGTTGAAAGGGCAGTGGCAGGGTTTGAGAGAACTGACTTCAGTTTTGAAAGAAGTTCTACTATGGGTAAAATGCTATCAAACAGCATCACGTGCTACAGAGAAATCTTTTGTGAAAGAAAAAGTCAGTGGATGTGGCAAAATTCACTGTTGTCTCATTTTACAGAGAACTCTTTTGTGAAAGGAGGAGTCAGTGGATGTGGCAAAATTCACTATTGTCTTATTTTAGGAAATTTCCACAACCACTCCAACTTCAGCAACCATCATCCTGATTAGTCAGCAGACATCAACACTGAGGCAAGACCTCCACCAGAAAAAAGATTATGATTTTTCTGAAGGCCCAGATGGTTGTTAGCGTTTTTAGCAATAATGTATTTTTTTATTTTAATTTTTATTTATTTATTTATTTATTTTTAGGATGAAGTCTGGCACTGTTGCCCTGGCTGGAGTGCAGTGGTGCAATCTCAGCTCAATGCAACCTCTGACTCCTGGGTTCAAGCAATTCTCCTGCCTTAGCCTCCCAAGTAGCTGGGTTTACACGTGGGTGCCACCATGACCAGCTAATATTTTGTATTTTTAGTAGAGACAGGGTTTCACTATGTTGGCCAGACTGGTTTTACCTTGTGATCCACCTGCCTTGGCCTCTCAAAGTGCTGGGATTACAGGCATGAGCCACTGTGCCCGGCCATTAAAATATTTTAAATAAAGTACATATATTATTTTTCTGGACATAATGCTACTACACACTTAACAGACTACGATATAATATAAACATAACTTTTATATGCACTGGGAAATAAAAAAAAATGTGTGACTTGCTTTACTAGGATATTTCCTTTATTATGGTGGTCTGGAACCAAACTTGCAATATCTCTGAGGTATGCCTATATATTTTTGCATAACTTAGACTGATTGCAAAGTAGTATTTCAGCATCTCCATTCAATTAAACCCAACTTCATTTCTATTTTAATAATGGATGTTTATTCCATACCTACAAAAAGACATGCTTCAAAAAGTGAAGCAAGGTGACATAGGTTTTCTCTTTTACAGATAAAAAAGCAGTCAAACTGAAAAACCAAACTCAACCAACAAAAATCTTCATGAAAGTTTGAGTCTCAGTGAGGTTAAATAATTTGCCCATTCATGCTAATAATGGCTGAGCATAGATGCTCAGCTAGTCTGACTGGAAGCCCCTGACTTTTCTTCATGTTCTCACTTGTGCCTCTCAATCTTCCTTGAAGGTTTTTTTTTATTTTTTTAGCACCAAATTAAGTTTGGTCCTGATGTAAATAAATAATGCTTACTTCTTTCTGAAGTGTATACAATTCCTGTAAAGACAGCGTCATTTAATGACCTAAAATTTAGCTGTACATTTGGAGATGAAATGAATCCAAACTTTAAAATACATAGTTTTCTTGCTTTAGGATACATATACACATATTAAAAAGTGGAAAATGAATGAGGTAGTCTGAGGTTTAATACATGCAAGTAGTCTACTTACCGTGGAATTGTTTTCATAGAGCCATCTAAGTAGTTGGTGACAAAAAGGTCAATATTATAATTGCTAGTAACATTTCCTGGTTC